GGGCTGAGGGACCCCCCCCTCCCCCCGAGTGCACAAATTTTTGTGCACCGGGCCTCTAGTATATATATAAAAGACTAATATGCAAAGTGTCCCCTCGGGAGTTCGACCGGGAGAACGGGAGTTCAATCACTCGCTATGACGTGTGCTGATCACCAGGGGGCGGCGCGGAACATGGTGGGGGACCAGCAGCGGCAGGGCGCTGAGGGAGCAAGGGAAGGAGGAGGTGGGGAACCTGATTGGCCCTGATCACCGGCCAGGCCTAGGGACCCTACTTGTGCATGTGTTTTGTGCACCCGGCCTCTAGTACTTGTATAAAAAACAAAAACTAGCATGATGCTTATGCATCAGATACTAATACCCAAAGATTCAAAAATGAAAGGCAAAAAGAATATAATCTTGTAATTTAAACCACAAATTCTGCTTTCCTCCACGTCTTTTAAAACTAATTTATTTCAGGGCTCTGGGCTAATCTGCAAAAGATAATATAAACCAATTTATCAAGTTGAAGAGCCCCATCAATTTCATCATGATAAATTATTAGAATTTTAAATTATTATGTGATTAGTCTGCTGGGAATGACCTATGGAGGCTAAATGGGTTGTTCTTGATGTATTTAGAAACAAGAAATTGGAAATCTGAGAGAAAAAAAGCTCAAAGCTTTTAGGACAATTAAATTAGAACATTGTCTTAATGAATCAAATAGACCAACTATATTAAAAATAATGAATCAGCTATACCATAGTTAGATCAGCTATATTAAAGATAATGCCTGGCTGGTATAGCCTAGTGGTTGAGTATGAACTCATGAACCAGGAGGTGCCCAGGTTGCGGGCTCAATCCACAGTAGGGAGTGTGCAGGAGGCAGCTGATTAATGATTCTCTCTAATCACTGATGTTTCTCTCTCTCTCTCCTCCCGTTCTCTCTGAAATCAATAAAAACATACTTAAATAAAAATAATAACGAATCATAAATTTTGACTGTAAACAGTTACAGTTTGACTGTAAAGCCATTTCTGCTCACACTGTAGATACAGGAATTATAAGTTCTTACCTTAGACATCTTCAGTGAAGTTCCGTCAATCTGTAAAAATACACAGGCATATATCCATAATGCATACACGTATTTAACTTAGCATGAATTGACGTGAAAAACACACATAAGGCATCAATAGCTTGTTCACTCAGCTTCTCAATTACATCAAATACTTCCCCAGAAATGGTAAAATTGTATCATTATAAAGACAAGTTAGATATGAATTAGTTCACAAAAGCAACCATATATTTCTATGTATATATATATACATCATTCCATATTTTCAAGAATATTCAGACTTTCTTTAATAATGAGTATATGTTAGGTACTACAATCTCAGGTCACACCAGGAGAAGACAAGTTTCCATGACCTCTGGAACTGGTCTTCTCTCTTTGAACCTTTTCAACAAGAAAGGGGTGCCTGGCTCAGCTGATTGAGCGCTGGCCTGTGCACCGAAAGGTTGCCGGTTCAATTCCTGGTCAGGGCACATGCACGGGAGGCAACAGATTGATGTTTCTCTCTCTCTCTTCCTCTCTCTAACCATGTAATCAGGTGAGGATTAAAAAGAAAAAGAAGAAAGGAGTGCTTGGGGAGTACTGTGCTACCTGGCTGTCAGAGATTCCTAGAGCGCTTGAGAATTAGATTTTGGCACTGGGGCATACAGAGCAATATGAACTACATTTATAAGCAAAGGAAAAAGGACTGAAGGCAATTGAGTTTTTGAGAAATGTGACAGTTTTAGAGTTATCTGGAATTTTCATGCAAATTTTAGAAGCCCTGAAACTTTGGGAAATGTGTGGGATCTGTTGGCTAACCTTTGGTAACAAAGTCAAGAGATCTGAATGCAGTCAAATTTTATTCTCTCTAATTTTATTCTTTCTAATAAAGCTTAGAAACTTTATTAGAAAGCTTCTTTCAATTTTCTGCCCCCCACTTCCCACAAATCTTTTCATGAATGCTTCAGACTCTTAAGTTTCTCTTCCAAATGGAAATGTTTCCAACCACCTCTGAAGAAACGAGGCCCCTGCACCCCAGTGTATGGCTTGGTTAACCAAGGTTAAGATAGGATTTCTAAGGAATTTGTTTCAAAGAACCAGCTTCTGGATTTTATTTAACCTTCTATTGCGATACTTTGTTCATCATTTCTTCTTCTTCTTCTTTTTTTTTTTTTTTTTAGAGAAGGAAGAGGGAGAGAGAGAAACATCTATGTGAGAGTGAAACATGTATCAGCTGCCTCTTGCACACCCCTTACTGAGGATCGAGCTTGCAACCCAGGCCACGTGCCCTCACTGGGAATCAAACTGGAAATCTTTTGGTGCACAGAATGGCACCCTAATAACTGACCTACACTGGCCAGAACCATTTTATTTAAATTTATTGATTTTAGAGAGAGAGAGAAAAAGAGAGACATTGATTTGTTGTTCCACTTATACATTCATTGGTTGTTTCTTGTATGTGCTCTGAAATCTTGTCGAATCCGGACAATGCTCTCTAACCAATTGACCCACCTGGCCAGGGTTCCACCTCCCCAGTTTTAACAGAGCCTAATTTATAAACAGCTACGTACTATAAAAATCTCTTTTCAAAGTTGCTTAAATTTTCTTCACAGCAGTTACATATTTTTAAAAATTTCAATTGTTTTAAAAATATATTCTTTTTAATTTGTAGAGAGAGGAAGGGAGAGGGAAAGAAACATTGATGAGAAACATCATCAATCAGCTGCCTCCTGCACACCCCCTACTGGGGATCGAGCCCAAAACCCTAGCATGTGCCCTAACCGGGAATTGACCCATTGACCTCTTGGTTCATGGGTCCAGGCTCAACTGCTGACTCACATCAGCTGAGGACAAATTGCTTTTCTTTATGCACCTGGTTTTCAGTGAGAAAGTCTTGACACTTCCCAAGCAATACTCACATTTTCCAAAAAAGATGAACGATGGATAAAACTGGATTCTTGGCAATATAAACATATTCTGCTGGTGACATTTATATTAATGGACTACCCATAACTACCATTTATCAACATGTTACTCTTGTATTTTATATACATTATCCCAAGTCCACAAAATGACTCTGCAGTGTAGGACCTAGAAGGTTCATAATCCCTTATCTAGAGCCCTTGGAATGTTCTGGCATTCAGATTATTTGGATCTAAAGAAGATACATGTACAGTATATCCCATAACACCCTCAATGGTATCTCGGGCAGCACCCCGCATCCAAATGTATTTTATGTAGTGACATGTATGACAATTAGCAAAAAGGGGGATAAATATGGACTATACATATGGATTCAGCCCAGTTCTACTGCCAAATGAGTTTTGGTGTCCTCTCTCTGGAAAAAGAAAACTGTTGTTTTTTTAGCAGCTTGTCTTTGGTGTTGGATATAAAAAGGGACCTGAATCACATTTATGAATGATAGAGGTTCCACTCTCCCCTGCTCATTTCCCTAGGTCACCCTGCTAATCTGACCAAATGGAAAAGCCCTTGTTCTTTACCCTGGGCTGCTGTGCTGGGTGAGAGATCAGGATGGACAGTGGAAAGAAGTGTCAGGATATCCTTTTCAGCCGAGATCATTGCCAAGATTTGACAGAGCAGCACACAGTGAGTTAGGAAGTTGGGCGGTGCAAAGAAAGCCTGTGTCGGAACTACCAAAAATGGAAATCGTGAACCTCCAACTACAAACACCAGGAAGCAGCTATCGTGACCCCTTACACCAGTAGGTCTCTCTCCTCATGACAGTAAGTCTGTTTTGGGACATACTTATTTTGAGGTATTATAACAGTGAGTCGTTCAACAAATATTTGGGAACTTACTAGGTGAGGGTCACTGTGCTAGGCAAAGGGTAAAGGTGACTAAGTTCACACATCCCCTGCCCCTCACAGGACAACTACCATACAGTAAGTAGGACAAAGGCTAACATCAGGCCAACATCTATGCCGGCCGTAGGAAATCTAATCTGGACCAAGTCCTGAATAGCAGAGCTGGGACTAGGCAAGCAAAGGGCAGAAAAGGTTGGGAGGTAGCTGGGTTCTAGACAAAAGAAAGGGTTTGGGCCCAAGCCAAAAGACAGACCACAGCAGTTTGAGCAGTTCAGTGTGGTTGGTCACGTGTCTATGGGGGAGGGCAGACAAGGTAAGGGTGGTCCTGGTAAAAAAATTAGGCGGAAAAGTAAATGGTGGCCAGGTCTTGTGGGTCCTGTGGACCACGTGAGAGTTGGGGCTTTACAGAAAGCAAGGGCAGCCGCAGATGGGCCTCCTCCCCTCAGGCCTTCAGGGGAACGGTGGAGCCTCTCCCCTGCAGCCAGACAGCCAAGGAGGCAAGGACTTCTGGAGGCTTCCCTTCTGCCAGGGGCTAGCGAGAGGAAATGGCCCATGTCAAAGGGACAAAAGGATGGCCGCACGACAAAAGCACTCTCCCTCCGGACCACGACCGCCAACTGCGCGTCCTGTACCCCTGACCAACTACTGAAACAGTTGCACGGAATTATCACACAGAGCGAGCAAGGGGTCACTTGGGTTCTCCCGGGACACACCCTGTCGTTTCCGCCGGAGCCAGGGCTCCCGGGGGGCGGGGTCCGGGGAGGGCCCGGAAGGCTGGGAAGAGGGTAGAGGAGGGTCCGGGAAAGGACGGGGGAGGATAGAGAACCTGGGAGGGCGGGGAGGACCAAGGACCGCAGGCTGACAGCCCCTCCCCCACACTGCGCGGTCACCACCGCCGCTGCGCCCCCCGGGACGGCTAACCGCCATCCAGAGTGGGCCCCCTACCCCTTCTGTGCCAGCCCCACAGTTCGCATCCCGGCAGCAGCGGCGGGGACCCACGGCGAGACACTCACCGCGGAGGAGCCGAAGAAAAGCCAACCGACC